ATTGCAGCAATATATGTGCACCCGTGTTTATAGCAGCGTGATTTGTAATAGCTAGATCTTGAAAATAACCCAAATGCCCATTAACTAAGGAATGGATAAAAAAGATGTGGTCTTTTTATATAGTGGAGTAATCCTCATCCATAAAAAAGGATAAACTGGAGACTTCATAAGTAGATGGATGCAACTGGAGACCATACTCATAAGTGAAATAAATCAGATGCAAATGTGTAAACATCGTATTGTCTCCCCAGTGTGAAAAGCTGAAAGAGTAAATAAGATCCAAAATGTACAACAGATGTTATGAAACAGGAAGAAACTATTCAAAAAGAAAGAGAAATTGGGGTAGGGGAAAGGAGAAAAGAAGGAAGGGAAAGCAAAAAGAAAAAAAAAACATATATATATATGGAGTTAAGATAGTTATACTACTAATTTCTCTTAATTCATTGAAAAGAAAGGTTTGTGCTAACAGTTTGGACAATTAAATGCCGATATCTTGTACTCTGAGTGACTAAGTGAAAGGTAGCAATCTGCAATGTATTAACCATTGTTACCCTCCTATTATCTTGTTTTGAAATTTTGTGGTTTTTTTCTTTTTTAAAGAAAAAAGAAGATAAGGAAGTTAGTGGGCACAGATCTAAAGCAGATAATAAAAGATAAGAGAATGCAGAAGTGCAAAGAAACTCAAGTCAACACTCCATGAAGAAGTGAAAAGAACACATTTTGAGCTGTTCGGAGGGGCTTCTGGTCACGCAGCACCACTACTCCTTGGGCTGCGCTGGCTTGCAGTGTAGACACCGGCAGATGGAGGTCCTCACACTCATGGACAGAGGTCAGCCCAGGTCGCTTAGCTGCCTCAGCCAAGCCCATGCCAGGCATTGGTCTTTCAGATCTCCACAAGGTGGACTGTGAGGGTAGACCTTATTTTGTAGTCCTAGTTTTTAATTATCTCTTTGAAGCCCCAAATCAGAGGTTCTCCATATGATTTCCTAACTTACTACAGTAAGAACTGGTTGATTAAAGAAAAGACAGCAAGAAACTTGAATGCATACATCTGACATATAATTATAGCCAAAGGACAGCAATTTAAATTCCTTCTTTCTTTTGATCATAGGTGATAGAAGGCAGGGATTTGGGTCTGGGAAATGGGAGTTTTAATTCTCCCTTCTCTTCTCTCCTTCCCCTCCTCCTTTTCCACCTCTTCTTCTTCCTCTTCCTCTTCTTCGTCTCTCTCTCCCTCTCTCCCCTCACCATACTGAGGATTGAAGCAGGGCCTTCATACTGAGCTACAGCCCCAGCCCTTGTTTTAGTTTTTATTTTGAGATGGGATCTTCCTAAGCCAGTAAGTTGTTCAGCCTGAGCTTTAATTGATGATCCTCCTGCCTCAACCTCCCAGAGTGCCACAGTGATAGGACGGGCCCCATAGCCAGTTTTCACATCTTGTTATAAAACTGCCTGTCTTGGCCTTGGTGTCACGGTCCAGTCTGTAAGCAGAGATGTGTGTTTGGAGTGGAGAGTTAATGCGGATCGCCTGGGCGCCTGAGGGACAAGAAGAGTCTTGGTCAAGTGTGTGGCGCCATCAACTCAGAGGGCAAAGCTCTTTGGCCTCCGACCAGCCCCGCAGTGGTGCCTTGCAATCATTTCTGCCTTGGTAACCTCAGGAAACCGAGTACTTATTCTGGGAGTAGTATTTTTAAAATATGCTTTGTTTTCTCCTGGAGTTTATTTTCATTTTTGCTTTAATTTCTCTCTGATCCAGGGCTTAGCATCCTGGCATAGTTTTCGAAGTCTGGTTTTTCCTTTTATCTTATTACTAAATCTGTGGGGAGAGGATTTCCTTATGTTTAATGGAACACTGACATTCCTTTTACCAATGTAAATAATTCTTGTTTAGTTTTGGCCTCTTCTCGTTCCACTCTTGAATTAGGAACGGCTGATTTGGAGAAGTGACTTGGAGAACGGCCTTCGAAGAAGGTAACAGCTCAAGTTAGATGATGGATTGTGGTTCTTTCTTTGTCTCTGTGTGTGTTACTTTATAAAATAATAAAAAAGAAAACCTTCTAAACTCTCCAAACTTTCCCACAAATGTCTTCCTTCAAACTTCCTCCCAGCTAAGCTCCTTTTATAACTAAGCTTCCCAACATACTGAAATCTCTCTTTATGGGTGCCTCATGCCTGGATTAAAAATTAAAACATATTTAAAATGATAGGCACTGCCCAGCTGCTGCCTGGACCTCACTTTTCCCTGGGACACTCATCTTCATTTGCTATACCATATATTTTATTTAGTTTGCTCACTGTCCGTCTCTCCTTCCCCTAGACTGTAAATACTGTGAAGACAGAGATTCCTGGCTGTTTTATTCCCTGCAGTGCCTACAATATTGTTGTTACAGAGTAGATAATAAAAATAATTTTGGTGAATAAACAAAACTTGTACGTTATCTCTAGCCCTGGAAATACTTGCAAGAATAAAATATCAAACACAAAAAGCAATGTAAGTCAGGAAATAAAAATCAAAAAGTAACTCTTATCATTCCAGAGAATAAAGATGATCAAAGGAGGGCCTTTAATTGAATATTTCAAAATAACCAACAGAGAAGATTATAATGTTCTCAACACCAAGAAATGATAAATGTCCGGGGTGACAGATGTGTCGATTACCCTGATGTGGTCCCTATGCATTGTGTACATGTATTGTGTAGCTGTGCCCTGTAAATATGCACAATTATTATGTATCCATTAAAACTAAAAAGTATTTTAAAGAAAGAGGGCTTTGGAAAAGAAGATCAAAAAGAAGACTGCCTATGTGATAAAATAACCCTACTAAGCACTCAAGAGCAGACAGGCCCCTGTTAGGAAACTCAAAGACAGAATCCTAGAATTGCTGACTTGGTGGCTACATAGGCAGATGGCAGGTGTCAGGAAAGATGAAATATATAGCATGTAGATGTCCTTTATACATTTAGCAAAGGAAATACAGTTTTTAAATGAAGCTTGGTCTTTCAGGTTTTTTAAACGTGAACTTGTATATCATGTTTAATATGTCTAAAATTCTTCAGTTGGTCGTAGTAAGACCATGTTGGTGGAAAGACGAGTGTAGGCCTTCTGAGGAAGCCGGGTAGGAACAGAGTGAAAATGTAAAACAAAAGAAAAACAAGGTGAAGGCAATGTAATGACCAGAGGAAAAGAATCGAGGTGGGAAGAGCTTAGACATGATCTCATTCAGTGGCTATTGTCTTTTGGGGGAGGGGAGACAAGGACTGAATCCAGGGCCTTCACACTGAGTTATGACTTTTTCCATTTTTATTTTGAAACAGAATCTCGCTAAATTGGTAAATTGCTCAGTCTTGGAACCCTCCTGCCTCAGCCTCCCAGAGCGCTGGGATTATAGGTATGAGCCCCTACATCTGGCTTCAGTGGCTTTATTTTATAGGTAAGAAGTCTGAGGCCCAAAGGTCAAGATCAAGTCAAGCCACTGGTGATCAGGAGAAAACATGAAAATTGTGGGCAAATTTGAAATTGAAGGCAGAACATCTATTAAGAGGCCGACTCAGAAAATTCAGGGCAGAAAGAAGGGGCAACGACAAGGAAAGCAGGAGCAACTGGAACCGAAGCGCAAACAGCACAATTTAAGAAGGAAGTAGAGGCCAGCCTGTTACACAGGGTAAGATGGCCAGGAGCTTGAGATAGGAGGAAAGGCTGCTGGGTCAGTCTCTGATCGTATCACTAACTAGCAGGAGGTATAAGAACTTGGGTGCATAATTCAGTCCTAAAGAGCATCTAAGAGGCCAGCAGCAAGAAAAGAGAGCAAACTGGAGCAGCCAGTGCACCCTAGAAGGACAAGAAATTCCAGGCCCAACCACATTTGACTGGAAATCAGCTCAGTTGCCAGCTGTGTAAAGTCTGAGCCCTAAAACTCATCTTTAAATGAGGTGATGATACACACGGGGAGAGGGTGAGTGACTTATATGAGGAGAGCAGCAGCATCAGTAGGTGTCAGTTCTGCACGGGGCAGGGGCTGCAGATCGGGGAAGGCCCCAGGTTCAATCCCTGGTAGCATAAAATTTAAATTAAATTTTTAGAAAGACCCACTCCTGAGCTCAAGTTGCTGTTTCTTTAGTAACCCACAGGCGTTATGACCTGACCCCAGGTTTCCCCCCTCACACACTTTATCACTGAGGTGATGGAAAAAATGAAGACAAAGATCAGGCAGGCTGCAGTGAAGGAGAGAAACCCACGTGCAGACTCTCGGGCCTTGGGTACAGACTGAGCTGCCCCTGTTTCATCTGGGACAGCTGCTTAGATGCACCTCGAAGGCCACGTGCCCTCCTGATGGCCGCACACCTGAACAACCCCAGCCAAACACACCCGAGAGTTTTACAACTCTCTGGTATAACTGCTGGGTTTTGCAAAGAGCCATAAACAGTAAAGGAAGTGAGAGTCGCGGAAAGTCCCAAGTGGCGCTTGATTTTACTGTGTACTTTCCAAAGTGGAGTGATTTTACTCTTCCCAAAGAACCGGACGGTGGTCCCTTTTCCTTAATATTTAAGGTTCAGTCCTGGCCCCATGGCATAGACATTTTCATCGGGAGTTTTTCTTGCTAACACTATTGGCTAACTGCCCCCTTCTGATTCAGATTCCCCAGGAAGCTAAATTCCTCATAAAATCCATCTTTTGCATTTACAGATTTGGATGTGGTAAACAAATAAATTATTTTACCCTCAGACTCATACCTTCCCCACTGTACAATGCTTTTCAAATCCTTTCGTTTCCTTTTTTTTTTTTTAAACAAAGCACATAGGATCACATATTTTTAAAACTGAGCAGCATTTCAGTTAATTGTTTTCTGTTTCTGGAATGTCAGCTCAGAAATCACAAGTGTGGGAAGTGTACCAGTCTTCCGGTAAATAAATAAATTAGCAAAAACTCTACCAATAAACACGTAATGACAGTTTCTTTGAAGACACCACAGTGGCCCTGGCCACAAGGCCCTGCACACTCACCTTGCCACGGTACCAGACACTTTCGTTCCCCTCTGGGTCCACATCGTCCGTTGTCAAGGTGAGGCAGACCAGCCTCCGTGTCAGCCCCTCGGCTTTAATCTGCTTCAGTGCCTGCTTTCCTATGAAGTCTGCTGGCTGCAGGAATCCAAGATAATGATGATGAATGAGTGCTCAGATTCTGTGACAAGGTTAGAGATGCAAGCATTTAAATTTGTCTTTGCTATTTTCTCACCAATTACACATTCAATAAAAACACAGATTGAATCAAAAGTCTAGACAAATATTTCTTAGTCCTCGCTTGACAGTTCAGCCACCTACCCCTTGAGAATACGTTAGATTTTAGGGTAATAACTTGTGGTGACAATTTTACCAGAACTACCTATGCAGAAAAACATAAGTACTGCAGTGGAGACTAGGAAAGTGGCCCTCACGTCCAGAGGCTCTGCACGGAGGACCTCGATGGACACTGCACCTGCATTCTGGAGGCCATGGCTCAGTCGACTGCACCAGGAAAAAATGCACTTTTCTGAAATATGCTGAAAACCCTCAGTGCTGTATTTTTCCTGCTTCTGCCCCTGGGAAGCATTAACCTAGTGGGCTGCCCTCACTAGGTCACTCAGGGAACATTTATTAAGCCCCTACTGTGTGCAAAGCATCACACAAGGCCCTGTGTGGGTTACACAATGAATCCGACACAGGCACTCTGACCAAGCAGCTTATCCTTGAGTACTATACATTCCAAGCCTTTTTTTCCTTCCATGAAATGCATGACAGATGACATTCTTGTTCCTAATGCACTTCCATGGGCGCACTCAGGGACACTTGATAAACGAGATGAACCAGAGAGTGCCCTGGGCCAGGTGGTCCCAGAGGGACATTATCATAAGACTTCCACATAATGAACTCAAAGACGCATCGCACAAGGTCCTGAGTTTGATTCCCGGAACCAAAAAAAGAAAAAAAAAAAATTTTTAAAGGATGCATAGCTTATTTCATGAGGCCAAGTGGGGATTTGTGATGCACAAAGCATATCCTGCTGAATGAGATTTAACTAGAGGTTACAGTAAAAACAAGATTCCCTTTTTATTTTTATTTTATTTTATTTTTTTTAAAAAAAAACAAGATTCTCAAAACAGTCCTCATGCATGGACTGTTCTCTGAAAAAAAGAAAAGAAAATACTGTACCATGCACTCTAATTTCTTCACTGGCTATAAAAGGAAAAAAATCATAGTTCATGCAAAAGATGGCCCAGGATGAACCCCGGCAAAGTTACACTTCTATGGATATTGCAGCTTCCAACACAGACCTGCACAGGAAGCTAAAGAAAGCCTTGGCCAAGGTTAAAGTAATGTGCAAAGTCCAGCTCACCCTCCTTCCCCAATGTGACCCAGATGGTGAAAACCAATTGTAAAGCTTTATTACGAAACCAGAGCATGAAGACTTCAAGACTGGGACCAGTATTATTTCATATAGGACTAATGCATACAGGAAGACCTCGATTTATCTGAATCCATACAGAAGATAAAGATAAATTCATGATAAAAAAGTCAAAACAAACCAAAGTTCACTATAGTTTTTAAAGTATGTATATACATGTATTTTCTTACTTTAGCACATAAAATATAGAAATATTTACACATATATAAAACATTAAAACTACCTTCAGAAGTGAAGACAGCAATATTTTACAAAGAACATATTTTTGGAAATCAATACACTGGGGAAAAAAAAGATTTAAGACAAAACATTTAAATTAACAGACTCCAGAAGTTGATAGGTGAGTTAGTATCAGTTGGGTAAAATAAATAATATGCTAATAGGTGGTAAACCAGGTTTATATTTAAGGTCGTCTAGACAAAATTACATGGACTTTTTTTACCATGAAGTTGAGTTAATTTTATTTTACCCCTAAATCAGAAATCTTTGGTAACTGTTTTCTCTTTTGTATAAATATGTAAAACTTATAATTTATATAGAGAATTTTAAGCTTCTTCAGAGCATGTTGTAAATATTTTAAGGGCTCTCTGTCTTCTATTTTGGGGAACAAAACTCCCTACATCCCATTGATTTCAACATTAAAAACAATTATTTTTACTACCATTTTCTAATGAACCTTCCTGGTGATTTACGATCGATTTACTGAGAGGTCACAATCTTCATAAATTCTTTTTTCTTAGTACCCTGAGAGGACCCGTGTTACACCTGCTTTTCAGGAGCTGGCTATTCCTGGAGTCTTCAGGGCTACGATCACCGCACAGGCACTGCGCGGTAATCAGACCCACAGCCTCTGGTTCTCGGGCCACACGCATGCTGTGAAGAGCAGTCAAGGTTTGCTGGTGGTTTACAGAGAGCGTGGGTTTGGGGGTTCTCATTCCTTTTCAAAGTCTTGGCGCCCTCACAGAATTCACTGTGCTGACTGTAAGTGGAACTTTTCTGATCACCTTTCTTGGGTGACTTGACCTGAACATCTTTTGGGGAAGAGGCTGGGATGTTGCTTCTTGCATAGAAGCTAATACAGTTCTGATCATAGCATATTCTTCGTTGGAAGCCAGTGGGGAAAACACAATGCTCTTTTCAGTAACTCTGTGCTTTGCTTTGCCGTACAGCCGGCATGCCGTGCCCTTCCTCTAGAATCACCTTAGACACACCGATTAAGTCCATTTCACTGAGTTGAGCCAAAATACTTGCTCAGAGGTGACCGAGCTCCCTTTGAAAGAGTTTGTTGGGAATAGCTACACAAATTCTAGGCCCATTTTCCCACAATTATATTCTGTAGTCTAAAATTTCCACTGGATATAATTTCCTTCAGTATTTCTCAATGTATTTTAGGATTTTGCTTGGCATTCTTCCTTAATGTTGAACAAAGCACTTTTTCAAAATGAAGAACTGGCAGTGAGTTCTGCTGGGATGTTGGTCCGGGCTTTGTGTCTGTAGCAGGAAGGATCCTGGACGGCTTGTGAAACTTGCTCCAGGCTGTGGCTGTCTCCTCACGGCCACAGTGGCACTGTGCTGAGTGCCACCTCATCAAACCTCCCAGCCTCCAGTCTGCTGTTTCATTGAACTATCATTTACTTTCCTTGTGCAAGGCCTTGCTTTTCGTTTCGAGGTCTCCAGTCTGAGGGCTCACAGTTGATGAGTAAGGCGTGATGCCCTTTCACAGTCTTTTGTGCAGTCTTCACGAGAGCCTTCCACACACCCAGGACTGTAGAAACCTCGTCCTCCACTCTCATGGGGTTTCACCAGTGCAGTTTCAGAACAAATGCGGTTACAGTGAACATCACACTTCATTTTGACAGAAAGAGTGGAACTTTCTTCTTTATAATTGGCCAGGAGCAAGAGTGCCCAGCAATAGTCAATGAAGCTACAGGAGCAGGAGGGTGACATGCAATACAGCTGCAGGGGCGCCCGCTCAGAACAGACGGATGGGCTTCTGTCTCAGGTGGAGGGATAGTGCTACAGTTAACATACATATATCTAAGTACAGAAGAACTCTATGTCAATGATAAAATGTCTTGCTATCTGTGTGTGTGTGTGGAGGGGGTACTGGTGATTAAACCCAGGGCCTTCAATACTGTGCTGCATTCCTACCCCTTTTTGTTTTTTTTTTTTTTTTTGGTTTTTCTCCGGTACCGGGAACCGAACTCACGACCTTGCGCTTGCCAGGCAGGCGCTTTTGCCGCTGAGCTAAATCCCCAGCCCCTTCCTACCCCTTTTTGTATTTTTAATTTTGACCCTGGTCTCATTAAGGCTCTGTTATGGTTTGTGTCTGCATGTCTCCCCAAATCCTCATGCAATCATGGGGCGGGCTTCTAGGATTATAGATGTGAGTGCTGCACTGCCCTAGGGCAGATAGTTTGCATATGTAAAAGAGGGAAAGAGGCTGCTTGCCACCATTCCTCCCTTTTGCTGTTGTTGTTTTCACTGTGTTCCACTGCCATGAACTGTTGCCCCCTGCCATGTGCCACTCTGCCTTGGAATCAGCCCAGTATGGACTGAAACCTCCACAAACTGTGAGCTAAACAAACCTTTCCTTCCTTAATTTTGGGTGTCAGGTATTTTGTCTCAGCAACGAGAGAAAATAACCAAGACAGTCTCTAAATTGTCTGAATTGGGCTCAAACTTATGGTCCTCCTGCCTCAGCCTCCCAGAGTGCTGGGATTTAGAAATGTGCCACCACACCTAGATTTTTCTATCTTTTTGAAAGGAGACTTTTTGCAATAGATAAATGATGAGAAGGGTGTTTTCTTGAGTTCATGTCCCCCTCTCATCTCTACTTAGTCTATCTCCCTGGTTCCTATCATCTTTTATATTACTTGATAAAATATAAATGATGCAAATACTCTACCTGAAGAATGTTCTGTTTAAAAGTCCCCCTAGGTGGGCTGAACCTATTTTGAATGATACTCATCACATAGTATTTTTACACTCTGTAAAGGTATCTGAAGACAACCTGATGGCTGACACTAATGGGATTTGGTGGCTGTATTTATACCCCTGAGCTAGGAAGTGCTCTTGCCAGCAGTCCTGATATGGGAATGGAGACAGGGCCCTCACAGCTGCCCCAAGCTGTGCCTCACAGAGAGAGCCCAGCCAGGCTGGGGACGCACCTGCTGCCTGGACACCTGCCCACCTGCCCTCCCTCCCTCCTGCAGAGCTGGCGCCTGACTTGGGCAGGTTATGAGGGTGACAAGCATTTCATCCTCACTTGACTTGGCTTCCTCCAAGACTGCCGATTGCACTCTACCACATCCTTACTGATTATAAATGAGAGGAAAACGTGTCTGAAGGTTATGCTGTGATTAAAGCTGGGCATTGGGCGTGACCCAAGAGCAGAAATACATGTCTCTAATGAGTTGTTGCCAAATTAACTGTATAAATAGCCATTAACACCTTTGAAAAATGTATACATTTCTGGGGCACTGAGACTATAGCTTAAAATATTGTTGGCTGGTTTTTTTTGTTTATTAATTTCAAATAGCTCTAAGAGCCATTAAAAGAGCTGCCTGTGACATGTACTAACCGTAACACCCACATATGTGAAAACACTTAGACTGTCAGTGAAAGTCCTCACTCATCACTGATTAGCCTACTACATGCGCAGTACCTCAAGGCCAGGGAATGAACTGGTTAAACC